ATTGATGCATATTACATAAAATTCAAGATTACAAGTAAAATATGTATATGTATAATTTATTAAAGCTCCATGTTTTAATTCGTGAAACTAACTGTGGATAAATATAATCAAATAGAAGATAAAGATCTCATTTTAAAATATAAAAAATCTAAAATATAATTAGGATAATTATCGAGTTCTAACAAAATAATTAATTATTATCTTTATAAGAAAATTATCTTATCAAACCAAATATAAATTACTTCATTATTAAACCTAAATTAAATTATAATAAAAAAATTGAATTAAAAAATTACATAAAAAATAGGAATTTTAAATGGAAAAATTGCATCAAAATGGAACCAACTTTCACCTAATTCCTATCTTGGGGAACCAACTTTCAAAATGGTCATTTTGAGGAACCAATTTGCAACGGATTTCTATTTTGGGGAACCAACTTTCAAAATCGTCATTTTGGGGATCCAAATTGCAAAATAATTATAAAAAATAACTAAAATTCGTTTTTTTTCCAAAAATTGATGTAATAAAATTTATTTTTCATTTCAAATCTCGTTTTTTTTTAATTCAGATATCAAATTGAACATTTTAAAAAAAATTCAAATTACCACAATAAAAATTATTTTTTACTAATGCAAAAAAAATCAATTTAATAAAAAAAATTAATTGATGCAATAAAAAATAAATATTAGGGAAAATTATACCCAAATGAAACCAACTTTCACCTGATGCCTATTTTGGGGAACCAACTTTCAAAATCATCATTTAGAGGTCTCAATCAAACTTTTTGTTTATTTAAGGGTCTGGTTAATCTGTTGAACAGTTAACAAGTAATTTAAGGGTTTCTATCAAACTTTTGGTTTGATTTGCCAAATTTGATTTAAACTTTTATTGATACAGATTGGTTAGATGTAAAAATCTTGAATGTGATATTTAATATTTTTTTTATTGCATTAATTAATTTTTCTATTAAATTGATTTTTTTGCATTAGTAAAAAATAATTTTTATTGTGGTAAGTTGAATTTTTTTTTAAATGTTCAATTTGATATCTGAATTAAAAAAAAAACGAGATTTCAAATGAAAAATAGATTTTATTGCATTAATTTTTTGAAAAAAAAAAAAGAATTTTAGTTATTTTTCAAGTTGGTTCCCCAAAATAGGAATCAGGTGCAAGTTGGTTCCCCAAAATGATGATTTTGAAAGTTGGTTCCCCAAAATAAGAATCAGGTGCAAGTTGTTTACCCAAAATGACGATTTTAAAAGTTGGTTCTCCAAAATAGGAATTAGGTGAAAGTTGGTTCCATTTTGGTGCAATTTTCCCATTTTAAATAGTTAATTTGATACTAATATCGATATATTTTTGACAATTTTTTACAATATTTTCAAATTTATATTTTATTCAAAAATAAAAACATCATCGCTTTTTCAAAATCACATAAGACCATACTATAACATAGAATGAGATAAATAATAAAATGAAATATTAAAATCAAGATATATCTCGCTGCATTGCGCGAGTACCCTTCTAGTAATAATAAATGATAATTATTACTAATCAACCTTACAATTGAAAAAAATGTCAATGAAGTTTTTGAAATGAAATGGGTCTGATTATAGTTGTTAAATAATAATTAATGAGAATGAAAATAAAAAGTAATTATTTATTTTTATATAATATAGTGGGTTTCAAGCCCAAATTTTCGTTCTCGATTAGTTTGGGAGATGAAAATTCATTTTCATTTTCATTCTCTGTCATTTTCATTTAGTTTTATTCCCCAAGCCAAACCAAGATGAAAAATCTTATAAGAAGCAAGGTCATGAAGAAAAACGTAAGAAGATATCTGAATTCTTGATCACTTTTAATTAGGGGTGAGCATAGGCGGGGTACCCACCTATTCGACAGGAACCGGAACCGGCGGTTCTTGAGATATTGGAATTAGAACCGAAATCGGAACCGTTTAGAGCGGTTCTTGAATTTTTGGAACCGGAACCACTGGGAACCCGTTCCGGTTCCAGATACTCGCTTCCTAAAATATTAAAATTTTGTTATTTAAAAATAAAAAAAAAAATCGCCAAAACACTAAATAAATAAACAACAATACAAATTATATGGAATAATGGTTACAAATATTGTTTAACGGTTACAAACCATAATAGACTAATAGTATATGTTGATAGTTTAACGATTACATAGTATAATTGTAAATGTTCAAAGTTTAACGATTACATACTACGAATCCAATTAAACACACAATTTGAAAAAAATACGAATCATTTTATCTCAAATTCTGAATCTTGTTTCAACTTCTTGCATACTCATTGCATCATCAACATCGTACGGTACCTGTGAATAATTGAGTGTTAAAAAAACTACACAAACTCGTAAAGAACTGCACATATTTTTAACTAAAAACTGCATATATTTTTAACAAAAAACTACACAAATTTTATTAAAAAAAACTACACAAACTTTGTATAAAAATTGTACATATTTTTAACATAAAACTACACAAATTATATAAAAAACTGCACAATTGGTCCCGACGGGTAACGGTTCCGAAAAATTGAGAACCAGAACCGGAACCGGAACCATTCTCAATCGGTTACGTATTTTAAGAACCGGAACTGGAACCACTCATATCGGTTCCGGTTCCGGAACCGGCAATTCCAAGATAGTTCCGATTCCGCAAGTGGGTACCCGGTTCCGCTGCTCACACCTACTTTTAATCTCATTTCCAATTATGAATTGTGCTTTAAAAGAAAATTGATCGAAGATGTACTTCATTAATGTTGACATTCAATTAGGATTGATCCAAAAGTTTAGATGTTTCTCACTATAACTTCTTTTCCCACCGGAATCCAATCCTTTAAACCGAACATCCCTTAAATATATAGACAACTTTTTATACATTTAAATGGGAATTATAAAATAAAGTTTAAAAATAAATTTATTTATATTTGTATAACATGGCCTAAATAAATTATTGACGGTGATAAGGTTGAAAGAGTCCAAGTGTTTAGTATCATCTAAAAGAGTGATCACACACGATTCATATTGCTTTCCACGCAACATTCACCATCATCCCTCTATAAATAATCTCATCAATTTCTTCTTTTTCTCAGAGAAGAGAGAGAGAGAGACATACATAACAACAGCAATAACAACCACAACCAACAGGAGAGATGCACAAATTCGCCACCTCATTACGGAGGCTAAACGCTTCAAGAGAACAATTCCGGCGATGTTTCTCTCAATTAGCTCAACGTCAAGCATCTATTGAAGAATCCGCTGCATCTGTCCCAATTATACCACCGTTTAATTACTCTCCTCCGCCCTACTCTGGCCCTACCGCTGAGGAAATCCTCCGTAAGCGCAAAGAGTTTCTCAGCCCTTCCATGTTCTTCTTCTACAAGAAGCCAGTAAGTTCCCCTGCCATCCTCAAGTTATTGTAGTAGCTTTGTGCATTGATGATCGAATCCGTCATTGTTTCGGTGTTGCACAAATAACTTGTACATCATGCATTATTAGTTGCATATATCTGCTACATATAGTTATTCAATTAAGATAATGGCAGAGATCTTAGAATTACAATTCTAAATCATCCCCGATTAATTCTTAAATTATATTTTGATAAAAAGACGATCACGATAAAATCCTCCAATTCTGTTGGTAAAATTTATCTTTTAGATGCTGTTTTGTTATTTATTGATCATATCGTTATCAACGATGTGGTTTGCATCTATGTAATTCAAATTATTGAGAAATGATATGAAATTGGTAATGAGCAATTTTTTATAAGTTAAATTTTTCTGACTTATGAAAAACTATTTATTACCAGTTTACTATTTTAACCATATTTTATTAATGTTTGTTAATTATTAATCTTATTGATATAAATTTTTGTCAAAGATATTGTTATAAATGATGAAAAATAAATTTTTACATGTTAAAAAATCAAATAAGTTAATAATATGGAAGACTGTCGTTTTTGGTCATTTTACATATATAAGCAAAATTTATCAAACATTAAAAAACAATTTATCAGTTTATTGTTTTTTGGTACAACTATAAGTTAATCCAAACATTTTTTATAAAACTCTGATTTAATATCATATAAATTAATAAAGTTTAAAAAAAAACATAAGTTGTTTTAAATAAGCAATCCCAAACAAACCCCTTATAATAAGATGCCTTTGGTTTTTTCCGATGGAGTAGTTATGATATAAAACAATGTGCTTTTATATTTCATCATTATTGGTTGTGGAAAACATAATTTTAAAATATTATATTTGAAGTTTTACGGTTTCGCATATATATATATATATATATA